CACACACACACACACACACACAACGACAAGCTAAAAACTAGTTATAAAAAGTGGACATGGAGATGAACATTTGATACTTAATAATACCCTAGAATTTATTGTATTGCGCATAAACAGAGGTTAGTCTTACACATTGAGAAACAGGAGGATTGGATGTCAATTACAAATATTGACTACTATCATGAGGTCGGATTTTATAATTGCTTTTTGGATCTTGTTTCTCTGTTTTCAGGCCCTCTCGATTTCATAGTTTTACAGACATTTTGCATAAAGCACTAGCTCCTTTACAGTTGAGAACACATTAACAATGTCAGTGGTGTGCAGACAGTTATTAATTAATGGCAGAAAATCACAAATGGAACACTAAAAATGCAAAACATACGCGTCATGATTTTTTTGGGTAAAGGTATGGTAGAGTATAAAGTCCCTGTTTAATCTTTTAAAAATCAATTGTATAAGTGACAGAAGCTTTGACTCAATGTCCGTCGTGTGCAATAGTCTTGACATTTTATAAAGCACATATACAAAAGCACCTGTTTTTCACTTAACAAAGAGCAACATATAATGCAAAGCACCGTTTTATGCTGCTGTAAGGTCACTGTAAAAGAACAGGTTAAAGATAATAATATGACAATATGTACACAGAAGAATAAAACATTGTCATGCTTCTGAATATGAACAGGTGTCAGTTTGAACATGCAGGTATATAAAAGTAATACTGATGATAACATTATTATTGGGAGTTTGCATTGCATGTAATTTCAAAAAGCCCCTAAGCGCTATACAACGCTTTGTTATTCATGCATTTGTGATATAAGATAACAATTTTGCCATCAACTCAAGCTTGAACTGGTCATGGTAACCAATGTAGCATTATCAATAAAAGTGTAATATTTTCTTTTTGAGACTTTGTAGATTATAAAGAACAATCGCCCGAATGTCCGTCTATCTGTCTGTCTCTCCATCTTGTTCTCATCCATTCTCCCTACCTCCTCCCCCCCC